TCAAAATGACTGATCAAAGGCCAAGGGTGCCAGTTGCCCAAATGTTTCTGCAGGCAAAAGGAGATAAGGGTCCTCTTACAGTAGGTACTGTTTAGAATCCATGGTTACAGGACCTAGGAAAAAATCCTAGTCTGGAGATGGCTGTTTTGAATGGTACACTCTGGCTGTTAGGACCAGCAAATTCTACCTGGTTTATACTTTCTATCCCCACGTAAGAAATGACAGAATAAGCCCAAAAAGTAGAGGTGGGGGAGGGGAGACAAAAGTCCCTATTACTTTGAAGTAATTTTAAAAGATAGTTGAATTTCAAGAAAAAAAAAAGTCCATACTTAAAATGCTACCTACAGCCAACTGTTCATTTAAATGAGTTATTTACTCTACAAAGCTCTAACGGGAAATTCCCAGCGTGTCCTTATCACTACACCTCTACAATCTCACATCTCTAATCTGAATTTCTCTCATTTGTCAAATGTGTTGGTTATAACTTTTTAAATGTCAGGTCTAAGCTGAATTCCACCACTGAAAAAGCCAAAGCAACTTTCAGCTTTCAAATATTACTCAATCTGAATGTGTCTTGCAAATGTCGGACATCCTCTTCCCAGCAGGACATGGGGCAGGGAGACCTACGGGCTCCCTCCTCACACCTGCCAAGAGGCTTTCTAATCCAGACTTGCTCAGATGGTCACCTGTGCCGACTCTGCTCCCCTCATCGGGAAATATAGAAATAAATATTTCATAAGTGCCATTCTTTTCCTTAGAAGCAACCGTGAGGAATCTGCCTGCGTGCCGACGTTCATGAGGTTGAGAACTGCTGGACTGTACATGGAGTAACAGGCTTATTCACAAGCTGTCCTCAGAGTTCCTGTGACTTATGTATAACTTGTATTTTCTTGGGTCTAAGAATTCATACCAAGATGTCGAACATGGTGATTCATGCCTCTGATTCCAACATTTAGGAGGCTGAGAAGCAACAGCTGTGTATAAGTTGCAGGTGTATTTCTACATTTCCTTCTTCATCGTCAATAAAAATGTAGTGTCAAAATGTTCAGGAAACTGCTGAACTCTGGGGATAAGAGGAGTGTGGCAGGGAGTTTGCCCCTACATGCCAATGACATTCTTGAGACATAGGTTTACAAGGTTTCTATGTTAAGGTCATATGCCCTTCATAGACGGTATGTATTCAAAAGGGTAATAAAGGAAATCACATAGGGGTTTGAAATCTAGAAAGGCTTCTCAGAAAAGAGAAACTTGATGGGGGCTGGAGAGATGGCTCAGCAGTTAAGAGCACTAACTGGATGCTCTTGCTGAGAACCTGGGTTCCATTCCCAGCACCCACATAGGGGCTAACCATCAATGTTCAAATTTAATTCCGACTGTGCTGGGTTTTTCCAAAGGAGGAATAAAACTTTCACTGCATTTCCAAAAGGCTTCTCCCTGAAGTTTTTGGGATAAATATTTGGGGCTCTTAGGTTAAGGCAGAGGATGAGGAAAACAGGAATTGCACTGTTTCCAATTTCCAATGAAAATTAGCTGACTGCAAAAGAAAAAAGTGACCCTGAGAAAAGGGAAATCAAACTGCCAAGATTTATTTTTTCATTCACAGAAAATACAGTATGTAATGTAAACACTGACACATGGAATAAAATACAAGATCAGGAAGACAAAGGAACTGGAGACACTTGCGCCGCACTGTACTGCTTCCTCATTTCATCTCCAAGAATCACATAGTTATACAGACTGGAAAAAGTAAAGGCAACATTCAGATTTATGGATACTCCAGCGAGCCCCTGAAACCCAACAGTGCCATACAGAAGTCTTTCTGTTGCAAAAACAATAAAGTTGAACACATGTTCACTTAACCCATTTACCCACGGCCTTTAATGTGGAGCCCTAAGAGTGGATTCTCATAAACTTTACTGCATCTATGGAGGCCAAGATTTAATTGTGCCTCTTTTCCTCTTTAAAGAAAATTAAATTAACCAAATTAAAAGCCAAGATGCTTGGTACTGGCCAGATGATTATACAATCACAGAGAGTCTTATTCAATAAATTCCAGGGAACACAGTACATAATAAAGGATCGCCACTGCTGAAATGGTCACCCCATATCTCACATCAGGTTTTCAAAGTTCTTTCCCAGAGCTTCAGACTAGGAAAAAATGACCTAAATAAATGGTTAGGATTTAAAAGTCTGTTGCTAAGCTTGGATTCAGTAGTAATAAAGACTACAGGCTGCAATTTTCTGCCATTATTCAGAGATTAAAATGCCCTGTCCT